TTCTAGCATTTATAGGGCTGCCATAAAGAAGACAGAGACTCCCTTTTTACAAGGAGTCACATGGAAAAGATGATGGATAATGGCACAAATTACTTCTGAGAAGATTCCGTGTGGACACAAAAGGAAAATTTTCCACAATGAGAACAATCAGGCAATGCAATAATGTTTCCATGAAAGTGGTGGATTTTCCAGGATTGGACCATGTAAGATTCAGCTGGACAGGGTGCTGAGACATCTAGTCTAGGTCACGCCTGCCTAGAAGTTGGCCCAAAAGATCCTTGAGGCCCCTTCCAGCCTGGTACTTTATGATTCTTTCATCTGTAAAATGGAGATAATAATGTAACCTTACAAGAAAGATGCAGAAATGCATCTGTTGCTGTTTGTGAAACATTCTGTTCTGATGAACACTGTATCAACCTAGCTGGCAACACATCTGCCTGTCTTCAGAGGCTAGTGGAGAACAGTCTGCAGAAAGGAAAATGTGGAGCTGTGCTCTGATTGCCCAGGCTTCTGAGAAGCTGGAGGAAGTTGTATAATCATGTAACTGCAAATTATATTGTAGAGTATGTGTATACCCAAGAAATCTAAAATAAAAGTATAAGCAGATGATATTTGGAATTACTTTTGTTTGGGTTTTCACTCCTGATCTTTTAATCACGGTAGGGGAGTTTTGGGCTAACTACGGTCTACAAAAGAACTTTGGAATTCTGCTTATATTGTTTTTAAATACTTTAATAGTATGATTTGATGAGTGGCATTGTATCACATCACTTGAAAATTTGAAACAGAAGAACCCTCTCTCCACGAATGTTCCTTTTGAATTATCTTCTTGCACTTTCTCCTAAGCCTGTAGTACTGTGACTACGTTGATCCATAATGCTGAATTAGCTCTTGTTCCAGGCACTGAATTAGAAACAAACCCAACATCAAAATAATATTCTTAAGTATTCTGATGTGCATCCAAATAAAGTGTGTTTTGTCTGGTTTTTTTTTTTTTTTATATATTAAACAAGGCTAATAACCTCTGCCTTTACTATTGAAAAGCCTTCTTGATTCATAAAGTTAATGTTTATGGGTATTGGTGCCTCTATAAATGTAGACTTGAGACATGTTCTGTGTTTCACAATTTCTTTTCTGAAGATTATATAGCTGTCTAGGGACTGTTTCCCACTAGTACAGTTTCTGGGCCTCTCTTCTCTGTTCCAGTGGTTTGGCAGTCCATTGAAATGCAAAAGAATAATGCAGATCCTTGCAAATTATGAGAAAGAGCCTACTGACTACAAAGCAGGACAGACAGGCTTGGCAGGAGGAAAGTGAGGCATGGATGGGTGCCTCTGAGCCCAGGTACAACTGAGAGGTCACAGTTCTGGCCTGTCAGACTTGACACTGATCATTTCATTTTGCACTTTCTACTTGACAATCCCTTTGCACCAGTCTTAAGGCTCACTTTCTTCTATGTTTTTTTGTTGCAAATGCTCCTGCGTCCTTCCTTCGAGACAAATTCTTCACTATTTCTACTATGTTAAATATACTGAAGTCAGAAAAATTTCTTTACATTTATCAAAAAACACATTTCCCCCACTTCTAACTACTGTGTGTTTCTCATTTTGAGTTTTAATGACTTCAACAATTAGTAATTACCCATCTCACTTAAATAGAACAGTTTACTTCAGGGTGAGTGGTAAGCTGCAGAGGGTTGCTTTAAAGTCCTGTGAAGTCCCTTAGAGAGTTCAAAGATGACCATATGAGTGCACAGACTTGTAACTGGTGAAGTCAGAGAGTGTTTATAGCTACTTTTTGTCAGAGAAGGTGAGTGAAAAAAACCCCACATAACTTATGGTTAACAAGACATCACCTTTCAGCCAAAGCTGGCTGAAGAAGTTGCCTCTTATTCCTGTCCCCGGTGCCCCAAACCAAAACCGGTTTGTTTTTCTTTTTATGGCAGTGTAACTGTTTACGTGCTATAAACTGGATCACTGGAATAATCCATATTTAAGACCTAAAGACCTCTAAAACCCCCAAGCCAATGATACTAGGAAATACTCTAAGTACAACTGTATCCCAACCAAAACCAGGTCAAACCCTAAAATCTTTCCCACGTATACTGACTTCCAGAGACCACAGATAACAATATGGACTTTTTTCATATCCTGAAACTCACTGATCCTGGGCTTCAGTACACCATCTCTATGTGAATTATTTCATCTATTTTTTCTGGCTCATTTTATATCCAAATTGTAATGCTTCTTGGAAGGCTGTATACAGTCTTTCAGATGTTCATTGTTCGACAATGAATAAATTATGCACTCTGCTTCAGGGTGGCTTAGATTCTTAGTCAGATTTTCCCTGTGCTTCCAGTAGCTTTAGCCAGCCCTGATCAGAAACAGTGCTACTACTTACCCTTTCATAAAGGTAAACCTTTAGAGGGCAACATAAATGTTAATTAATTTACTCTGACCTCACTCCTCTGAGGTAAATAGCTGTATCATTTTCCCTTTCTGTTCAAATGAGAACATTAAAACACAACTAAAGTGATTTGCCTATGGTAACACAGCAAATCAGTGGCAGAAGAAGGGCTGGCATTCAGAAAACCTTGTGGTTCTTGGGGCCTGTCTACACAGGGAAACTGAGTGAAACGCCAACTGTGCATCCTCCATTTGTAACAACTAGTCAAGCAGAGGCCAGTGCGTGAGCACTCTAAGAGAGTCCTTTTGTTCTGGAACAAATTGTGCATTATTGAGGCAGGGTAATTATTTTGGAATAAAAGCCATCTTATTCCTGTTATTCTACATCAGCTGTTCTGACAACTTCCTTATATAGGCAGGAGGTAAACTCTGAATTCTCCTCCTCACCAAACCTAGTTAATTATTGCTTAATTATAAAATCACAAAACTGTTTATGCTTCAACATAAAGAAAATAAACGAGTTCTGGATACTCTGAGACCTCTGAGAACAAGTGCTGCACCTGAGCGCTGCTGCCTCCCCCCAACTGCAGCTCTAGACACCAAGGAGAGCATGGTGAGAACAGTGGCTTGTCCGTGCCTCATGCTGGCAGCCCCTGCTACCAGATGTTGACCTCTTAGACCTGGATTCAGGCAGAGATCGCAGGGGCCCCGGAGCAGGAACCAGCTCTTGCACTGGACTGTGGCCAAGAGGGTGTGCCTCCACTGCAGCCTCATCTCAGATAGCACATAGGCTGGGCTAGTGGTTGGTGTCAGACACTTCTCCCTCCCTGTGTCCGAATATCTCCCTCATCTTATGATCTGACACAGCAGCAGTGTGTGAAGGAAGATAGTAGAAATGGTTTGGGAATGCGCTAGCCTCATTAACCTCATTAAAGAACTTGCAAGCCACAGCCTCACTATCTGAATTCTTCTGAGGAAAACAAATCTGGTAATTGCACCCCACGGTTCCTAATGCTGCAGTCACATCCAGCACCTTTTCCTTTGTAGGAAATAGGCTAGAACTGACACAAAAAGCTTTTATATGTAAAATACACAAAACATTTCAGGTTGGTGATATAAATGTATTTAAATATTGAAAATGTTCATATTTGTCTTTCTGGATTGCCAATCTCTTTTTATTTTTTTATTTTTTTCATGGCAGAGCAGCACAGAGATCAGTTCTTCACCCATCCAGAACGTTCCTTCTCCTTAGCAAGAAGATAGGGAGTGGTTCTGTGGCCCTGGAACACTTGCAGGAGTCATGACCTCAAGCAGAGGAACCCATAAGAGAGTGAGCGCTCTTTGGAAATCCACCCAGGTATTTTCACAGTACCGAACACTGAGGTATTTAATCATCAGTACTAAAGATCCATTAGGAACACCTTCAGAAGATGGCAAGCCAGAAGTCTTGTTGGTCTTTGCTGTCCATTCCAGGGAAGTGAAGGAGGGTGAACTAACATCTGTGCGGTGGACCAGCTGCTCACCACAGCACAGTTGCTCCAGCTATCACCACACTGTTGGAATGTCGCCAGCTCAAATCAGAGATGTTTTCTGGAGTGTCCTAATTTCAGAGACAGCTCAGGAATAGCTTCACTTACATTTGTTTAACTAAGATTATTAATGTTCTCTCAAGCCAAGGACGATAGTGACAGCCAACAGAGTACCCATCATGGGTTACCCACTGCTGACCTTGTTCAAAAGGTTGGCCATTTGAAATCAGAGTAGTGTTGCTGCAGAACAAGGGTGATACTGATGTATGCTCATTGTTTTTTGCATGTCATTGATTTGTTACCTGTCATGGGAATCTAGGCAGAGAATTGAATCTGATTTGGCTGACAGTAAATGAGCTCAATATATACTTTCTGCATAGTACTGGAAGGTTTTGCCTGTATGTCAGTAGCTAAAGCGACCTTCTCCCTTCACATCTCCAGGAGGCTGGAATGCGATGTAATGATCAAAATAAAAGCTTTATATATATATATATATATATATATGTATATATAAAAAAGCAATTAAGACAAAAAGTTCTGAGAGAGGCAAAACTAAAGTGTACAGGGCACGCCCCACAAAGTCTAGTTACCGACCCCACATACACAGGTCGCTGCTACGCGTGACCACAGCCACATACCCCGCCGCTGGCCACGGACCACGAGGCGGTTCCCTGGGTTTAGCTCCACAGCCCCACCGCCCTTCGGGGGCAGTCGCGCACCCCAGCGCATCCGCCTGACCACTTCAGCCCCCAGCCACCCCCCTCCAAACCCAAACTCGCTCCCCATGGGGCCGGCGGGGCGGGCCGTTTCCGGCGCGGACGGCGGTTAGAGCGGGCCGGGCTTGTCGCAGGCCTGTACCTCCCCCTAGGCCCGGAGCTTGGCCGTTGCTATAGGAACGCGCGCGGGGCCGCCAGAGCGCGGGCGGCGGGGCCGCTCCTCTCGCGAGAGCTGCGGCGGAGGGGGGCGGAGCGGAGCGAAGAGAAGCAGAGCGGGCGGCGGGGTGAGCTCATCCCGGGCGCGGGCGGGGAGCACCGCGCACTGCACAGCCCGGCACAGAGCGAGCGGAGGTGCCGGCAGCCGCCGCCGCCGCAACTTTGTTGGGTGAGTTGCGAGCGGGAGCGCCGAGCCGGGGCGGGCTGCGCGCCGTCCTCCTTCTGCCTGTGTGCCTGCCGCGGAGCCGGGCGCGGGGAGCCGTCGTGCCGTAGGACCGAGCGGTGTGTGGGGGTGTGTGTGGGGAGCGGACCCCGGCCCTGGCGCTGCACGGCGCCGGGGCTGACGAGGGCTGGCGGCCCGGGCGAAGCTGACTCGCAGCCCCGTCGGGCGGGGGGCCGCCGAAGCCCGCCGAGCTGTTGCCCGGGGCGGCCCTTCACTGGCCGGGGGCGGGCCGGGCGCGGATCCCACCGGGGGAGAGTAGAGCCGGGTTTTTTTTTTTTTTTCCGGATTGGTGTCTTTTTCTCGTAAGGGAAGGCAGCCCCGAGTGGGAGCATCGCGGACGGTGCCCCGGCGGGAGCGCGGGCGGGCGGCCGGAGGCGGCGGTGAGTGGCGGCGGTGAGTGGCGGCGGTCCGCGCCGTGTGCCGCTCTGCGCCGTGTGCCTCTCCGCTCCGTTCGCGGCTCCTCCCGCGCCGCCCAGCTCCGCGGGGGCGGCCGCTGCCCTGCGGCGGGGGACGCGCTCCCTGCGGGACCGGGAGCAGCGGTGGCGGCGGCTCGGGGCTCGACGCGTAACTTGTGTGTTGCTGCGAGTTGCACTTCAGTGCCTTGTCCTTCACTTCTGATAGCCGGCGAGGGGGAGCTGTGCTGGTTTTGTTCCGAGGCGGTGCTGGGGACACGGTCATGATAACAATTAGGTAATTCAGTGCCGGTGGGGATGCGCTGACTGCTCATCAGCTCATGAGGGAGGGGGTGGAGGAACAAAATGTTTGCGGATGGTATTTGATTCTTCACCGGGAGCCTAGAAAAGTGGAATGCCTTAAACTGGATCTTACGGAGAGGGAAAGAGGAGATGGGGAAGCAAGGAAAGGTAGGTGAGAAGAGGAATAACCTTCCTACGAGGAGTTTGTTTGCTCTTCCCCCGCTTTATATTGCATGAAGTCTTGATGTTAATGCCCTCATGCTATATTTAAAAATAACTCGTTATTTGCACTGAGTAAGTGTGATGCAGCTTTGGCTCGTTTAATAAGGCATTCACCCGTTCGTGTCTGGTGAAGCAGTGGTATGAAATGGAAATTGCTCAGGTTAGCGAAGATCTCCTTGTATAACCTTGGCCACAGTATGCGTATGCTTTATTTGGAGGAGGCACATTTTTACCCAAAGAAGAAATACGTACGTGGCTTTTGGATAATATTACAAAATCGCTTTTAATGATTTTTGCCTGCAAGATCGCTTCTAAACATGCTAGTGATGCCGCTTTAATGAACGCACTGCTGCGTGCTGAATGAAGTGCATCTGTGAGCAGGGACCCTGAGTTGATAACACAATGCAAATTTGTTTTCAGAGTAGAGGTGTCACATTTCATTAGCTTTCAGGTCTGTATGGATGAATCATGAAGATTTGTGTTTTCTTTAGAAAGCAGTCCTTTTGGTATTTTGATTGTGAATTTTTTTCTTTTTTGTTAACTATGGGAATTAAGCATTAGATTCCTTTAAGACATAAACCAGCTTTGTGTTAAGGGAAAAAGAGTCTTTCCCCCTACATCATTTTTTGTGTGTTGTTACTGCAAGTACTAACTGTATAATAAACACCTGTGTTTTCTCTGGTGAAGAGTTTGGTCGTTATTTATTTGGAAGGTTTTGCTTGGCTGGCCTCTGCTCGTCTTCAGCTGGAGGGGTGGGAGAAACAGGTGGAAATACGAAGGTAGATGTTTGTGGTAGCTGTAATTGCAGAGAGAGATCTCCAAGTTGTTTCATGGTCAAGGCTTTCTGTGCATTAGGCCATTAGATGCCATACCAGTTATTAATCCAGAAATGATATGGGAACTTCAGATTTATCTTTTCTTAGTTACAAAACACATACGTTCTGCTTAAGCAAAGCTAAAAAGTTTCATGTTTGTTTTCTCTGTAAATACTGACTTCTTTTCATTGATTGCTAACTTGGGGCAGAAGATTTTTCCCCCTATTTTAACAGTGTTTGTTTATGCCTAGTAGATTAAAGGATGTGCACTTAGTTGCTCAACAGTGTATTAAAAAGGTATTACTGATGCTAATAAAATGCTTAGTGTTAACATTGATGCTTGGGATACGCATACTTAGCTTTCAGTTGTGGTTTGTAGAACCTCTTAGATCATGAAGTCAGAAGCAAAATGGGATGTCAACTCTGACTATGGCAGGGCTGTGAAAGGTTGCTTCATTAAAGAGGTGAGCAGGTGTAGAGGTAGGCACTGACACAGAGCTTTGAAAGGGTGGAGCTGTGGTCGGAAATAAAAACTTAATATGGGGACATGTAATTCGCAACCTATTTTTTGTATAATATATGATTGTGATTTCACTCATGATTGTCATTTTACTTGCGCGTAATTGGTCTGGGATTGAGAAGCCTTTTCTCTCTCTTATGTTTATCAGATGCAAAATTTTAAGGTTTCAGATTAACTTTTGTTTAGCTGTTGTTTTAAAAACCATGTCCAAATGTGGCCTTCCCACCCTCCCTGATTTTCAAGGGGATTTTTTTTTATTTTTATCATGCTTATAAGCATTCTGCTGCTGCCTCAAGAATGTTTTGTTGTTACGTAGCTCTTTGTCCTCTGTTTTGTAGATGTGTCTCAAATACATCCTTTAAAGTGTCTGTTTAAGAATTATGAAATCTGCTAAAATGTATGCATTTTTTATTTCTCAGGTAGGCGATCAAAACTTAATTTTAAGAATATAGAATATTCCTGCTATTTATTCCTGTAAATCCAAAATTTTGGATTTTACAAAGGTTATGTTCTTCCAGTTAAGGTGGATAATTTTGTAAATACACTGGGGAGATGAGAGGTAGGCTTGTAAAAGAAAGGGCTGAGGCCCAGCTAAATTTCTTTTCTATTTCTTGATCTGTTTTGTCCTGTAGTATGTCCACTGTAGAGAAGAAAAAATGAACTGTTTTCTCCATATCAGTAGTTTAATCCCTTTGGCAAGGGGGTTGCTGCAAGCTATTGAGTTCTTGCTGCTCTGGTTAGAAATCCTGAATGCCCTACTGGAATGAAGAAGCAGAGCTTCTGCCTTCATCAGAATTTCAGTTGCGCAACTTGATTTCCCTAATGCTGACATTTTCAGAGGTTTAATTTTATTCTTGTTGACCCCATGTGTTGGTTAGTTGGCAAACAGTCTTGATCTGTTTCCGTGGCTTTCTTGGCTTCTGGCAGATTCCTTTTTGTCCTCAGCAGCTTCTTAATTTACATATTTAAAAAGTCAATAAAGCATGATTTAATTATCTTTTAATATCTTATTATAATACCTTTTTATATCTTTGCTTTGTTTACTTCATTATCCATCTTAGATTTTTATGAATTTGTTCTGAAACCCATTTAAGTTCTTGTTATGACAGAAATATAGCAAGTGCAGTTACTACTTTTATCAGTGTAAATGAATATATTCAAAAATCTGCTACGTGAGACTTTTGTTGATTTGCATATCAAATTAATAATATATTAAGTATCTTTCTGTGAGGGGATAAAAATGTCACATTGTTCAGTGTTTTATGTTTCCAGGGAGATGTCACTTCAGTCTCTTGAAATCAAGTACATCCCTCTAAATAGCAACTTTTAAATACTTTAAGCTTTATATTTCACTGAGTTCAGTTTAACATTGGAATGAGGATTCTCAAGCTGGAGGTTTATAGAGTGGGATTTTAAGGCTTTATGAGAGGTGAGATAGTCTCTACTTAATGAAAGGTAATCGATGTTTTTTGGGAGTAGAACCTTGCCAGCAGTGGCTAACTGAAGACACAGCTGTAAACCTGTAGATGATGGGCAGTGGTGAGGCTGAGTGGTAATAATTTTGTGGTTTTGACTAATTGTGTTTTTAGTCCTTATGCAGCTGGCAGTGCAAGACTAGCAGTCTATAGCAGTTTTGGTTTTAGCTTTGGTAGTAGTTTTGCACTCTGAACTTTGGGAAACCCTTTAGGAGTTGAGAGGCACTAGAAATGCTTGGTTATTTAACTGTGCTTTTGAACATGAATCAGCAGATAGAATGGTTTTAGATGTCTGTCTTTGAATATGCAAAGCTAAATTATGTCATTGTCTCAGCCTCTTTAATTTTGAATTCTATAGCACCAGTTTGATGGGTAGGCTGTTTGATTTAGATTCTGCCACATGTCTTTTATGGTAAGTGTTAAGTGAGACTAAGCATTTGCAAGTCTTTGTTTTCTTTATGGAAGCATGTTTTAAAGAGCACTTCATTTAAATGTGGCGACATAATACTTCTCATAATCTTGATAGCTGGTGAATTGTATGATTGCTGACTGAGTATTTGTCAGTGTTGTTTCAAAGGTCTGACTGTAAGTGGATCCTCTCTTGCAGGCCTGTGTTTAATTAGTAGGATCAAAATCAGTTGTGGTTTCACCTCTTCATATTAACAGTCTTCGATGTGTTGGATGCTGGAGTACAGTAGCAGTAGCTCATGTTCCCTGTAAAGTGGACGGACATCAGTTTTTTGAGAGAGAGATCAAATTTCTAAAAGGTGCATGGCTGTATAGAACAACTTTTCTGAATGTGGGTTATTTATAAAGATAATACATAGGGAAGAGTTGTTACTGGGGAAAGCAGTCTATGCTTAGGCCTGAGGGGCACTTTGAAATTTTTATTGATGTTTTAATACTCTTTGCCTTTGATCTTGGGCTCTGTAGAAAGTGGAGAACACTTCTTAAGGTGCTAAAGATTAGTGAAGTGCCTTTTGAAGACCCAAGTTTTATTTTGGAAGTTGTCAAAATTTAAATAAACTACTGGCATGCAGTTGTTCTAAAGCGGGGTTGTTCGTCATGGTTCCATATGGTTTGTTTCACTGTTCACAATTCTCTTGGTGGTGGTTATTTCAATTTGTGTTTAACTTTTGAGGTAACAGTTTTTTAACCTTAGGATACTCATTTAGACCTTGGATAGATTTTTATTGTTTCTTTTTTTTTTTTTTTACTG